TGTAAACTCAAACTCAATCAGATTTTGCTAATCACCTTCTCAATGGCACACAAAGCCATTTGACTTTCAACTGTGATCAGCTGTAGTCATTTTGATTAGCTTAGCATGAAAAAAGTTTTCTGTTGTTTTCACGTGTCTTTGGTAGTGCAACTGAAGCAAACAATCAACTATGGGTGGCAAGGCACTGTCAAAAGATAAAGTTGTGGACAGGCACAAGTCAGGAGATGGTTACAAAAAAATTTCAAAGGCTTTATCTGTGCCTATAAGCACCGTGAAGTCTATTATTAAGAAGTGGAAGGTATTTGGTACAACACAGACCCTCCCTTGATCAGGATGTCGCTCCAAACTGGATGAAAGAGCCAGGAGTAAAATGGTCAAAGAGGCTACCAATAGGCCTACAGCAACTCTGAAGCAGTTGCAGGACTTTATGACAAAGAGTGGTCATTGTGTGCATGTGACCACAATATCACAAATTCTCCACAATTGTGGCTGTATGGGAGGGTTGCAAGAAAAAAGCCACTCCTCAAGAAAGGCCACGTGCAGTCACAACTGAGCTTTGCCAAAACGCACCTTGAAGATTCTGAGGCAGATAAGAGTAAAATTGAATTATTTGGCCTCAACACCAAACGACATGTCTGGTGGAAATCCAATACAGCTCACCATCCAAATAACAGCAATCCTACAGTAAAGCATGGAGGTGTTTCTCTGCAGCAGGGACTGGAGCACTTGTCAGGATAGAAGGAAAAATGGATGGGGCATAATACCTTAAAATTCTTGAGGAAAATCTGCTGCCCTCTGCCAGAAAGTTGTCAATGGGAAGAAGGTTTACCTTCCAACATGAGAATGACCCAAAGCACACAGTGGTTGAAGGATAAAAAGGTGAATGTCCTTGCATGGCCTAGTCAGAGCCCAGACTGAAACCCCACTGAAAATCTGTGGAATGACTTGACTGCAGTCCACAAATGGTTACCATCAAATTTAACTGAACTTGAGCAGTTCTGCAAAGAAGAGTGAGCAAATATTACAAAGTTAGTAGAGACAAATCCCAACCGAGTAAAGGCTGTAATTAAAGCAAAATGTGGTTCAACAAAATACTGACACAAGGGGGTGATCCTTTTTTTTTATCAAACTCTGTGATTTCTTTCTTCTTCTTTTTTTGACATGTTGGTGTTATATCTTTCACTTGGATGTTATAAGTTGCACTGAGTAAATACAGCTGGATAAAACAAAAACTGTGTCCGTCTTCAATTCAGTCTGCAAAGCAACAAAATGTTATTATTTTAAAGAAGGTTATTCTTTTCTATACCCAATGTACTATTCTCTAGTACTCCCTTTCAGGAAGTAGCACTTGTATTATTTACCTTTTTGGATTAATCACTTATGCTTATAGAGGTCTTAATTTTCCATGCCTTTATTTCTACTTAGAGAACTCAAGGAGGCCCGACGGGCTGCTACCTCACCCCAGCAGTCATCACAACCAGGGTCTCTTCCAAGAGCTGGGAGGATAGAAGCTTGTGGAGGAAGCTTGTGGAGGAAGCTTGTGGGCAGAAGTGCAGCCCGTTCCATGAGCTTTGGTTTCCCTGGATACTAGCACCGCTTCCAGCACGGAATTTGTCATGTACTGCATGTGTCAACAGACCTACATACTGAATTTATGGAATGCAATAGTCAAATGCTTTTGCATTACTCGGCATTTGTCACTGGTGAAACTTCAGGTCCTGTTTTTGTCTTAACCCTGAACAGCACCATTTCACGTAGTTTTATTTGTGGTTTGAATCGGTGCATATTTATGGTTTACTGTTGAATGGCACATTTATCTTGTCAAATAACTGGTGCATTTTAATTGTAAATAAACTTATTAAATGTAATGCTGTTTGCTTTACCAATTTAAACAATGGGGTGTCAGTCAGGTAATGTGTTTTCGTATTGGCAATAAGGGGTGATTCTAGCAGATTAGATTTCCTTGTACAGTGATTCTCAAACAAAGGACCTTAGCAAACTTATAGCTGGCCCCACTTCTAGGAGACTTTTGTATATTGTCTAGGACAGGGGCCTTGGAATAACTGTTGCAGTCTGAATGCTCTAGTTTATTTACTGCTCTGCCTCATATTCCAGAGTGTAGGTGGTGTAATAGTTCAGCTAACTTTTCCACGGTATTCTTTATCTAGCATGTGCAGTCTAACAGAAGGGGAACTCCATTTCCAAAAACCCCTCTCTCCTAAAGAGAAGTCAAGTAAAGGAACGAGGGTAGAGCCGCGTTTTCACATCATAATTTCAGAATTTAACGTCCGTTTATCACTGCCTTCTGAGTCATTCTCGGCAACTGCTACGTTTTGAAAGGTCGCACATAATTTTTTATGCCTTTACACTTTAAGTAAACGGCGAGAATAACATTATCTTCTTTTGTTGTGGATTTCTAGCTGCTTTCGCTTTTCCTCAAGTCTTTGACCACGCCTTCTGTGCAGCGTCATCTGTGAGAGTGATCTTAAGAGTCGCAGAACGTTGTTTATTAGGCTACAAAGCTTCACTATTACATGATGTTTTGACTTGAAGTTTATGTAAGTAACGATTTTTTTTTTCACTGTAAAGTACAGTCGACACGTATATAGACAGGATTTTAAACATTTGCCTCAAAGGAGAATAAATAACGTTAACCGGTATTTTTGCTACTAGATCGTAGCCTAGTCGCAAGTGTTTTATCATAGTTTCTGTGGATAGTGTTACGACAGCTCGTGCTATGTCTTTAAATATAAACATTCATTCACGTGTGTACTGTTATATTTACCCAGATAGACAAGTTTCAGGCTTCCTTCAGTTTGACTCAAGTTTCCTGTAAGTTAACGTTAATGTTCAGAAGTGCTCTGCATCTGGCTGGTATTTTTTATTTGAACTGAGTTAACGTGTAAACACTGAGCTTCATCTAGCCTAAGAGTCATTTGTGTGGTCCCTAGATATGAATTTGGACTACAGTTTTTCTTTGTTTCGATCTGAGAATCATTTTTTTCTACAACTGATCTCTGTTTTGCAAAAACTGCTCTTGCTTTAAACGGCTCTTGTTTACGTCATTAAAACATGTATAAAACCAACCCCAATCCTCAATAATCACCGAATAATATTAGCTAGCCACTAATGAACAGGTAATATCATCAGCTGCTTGCTAGTTAGGGCTAGGATATTTCATGATGTTATTTAAGCCGACCGAAAAAGGTCGCACATTTATTTACGTTTAGGTTATTTAGCTATATATAGCAATCTATATAGATATATATTGTTTTTATATACAGCTGTAATACCTTTTTATTTATATATATATATATATATATAAAATATGTATATATATATTACATACAGCTATTGTGTTCCTGTAGATTAAACAGTGGAGCATAGCGTTAGCAACGCTAATGTCATGGGTTCGATTCCCAGGGAATGCATAAACTGATCAAATTCATACCTGGAATACAGTGCAAGTTGCTTTTTATAAAAGACTCTGCCAAATTCATAACTTTTATGCATGTTATGCATCAGGCCATGTATATTCTTGTAAATCATTCAAAACAGTTGCAGTGACTCATGTTTGATCTTATCTTATAATGAAACAAAGTGCTTTTGTGTTTTTCTTGAATCGCAGAGCACCTGGCATTGTACGGGTTTGTGCAATGGACTGCAACAGAAACTTTGGCAACATTCCAGACACTTCCCTGGTGCTCCTTTCCTTCCTTAAGCAAAAAGGCTGCCAAAATAGCGAGCTTAAAAGAGAGCTTGATGATCTTGATGAACAGCTAAAGCTGCCTACAAATCACAATTATTTTGAGAGTGATGGGGAATTACAAACCGACGGACATAATGTCTCATTCAGCTACAGAGAAATTTTACATGAACTTCAGCATCAAGTTCAGCCTCAAGTACCAGGTATATTAGACCCTGATAACATTTTCTGACAATTTTGCATGCCTAATTATTAGTTATATTAAAAGTACTATATTTTTGCCATTGTCTGTGTCTGTTAACGCTGCTAATGTATCTTTCCATCTCAGTCAATGCTGAAGAGGCTCAGGCAGCCAGGGAAATGGCTGCAGAGTTGATCAGAATTGCAGACCTGCTTGAGCACAGACTCCTGTCCCAAGCTGCTGACAGTTTGACCAAGAAACTGTGCCGATCTCAGGAACAGGTGAGACAAATTACTGTATTGCAAACTAATCTTAGCAGTTTACAGTTCTAATAAATTTACACGAATTGTTGCTCCTTAAACCTGGAAAAAACATTTCTCAATATTCCTTAAACATTTGCAGTTTTGGGCCAGCCATCTGTCTGATGGAGTGAAAGCCTTACTTCTCCAGGTGGCAGGTGCCAAGGAGTTTAAGAAGGAACTTGTGGAGATGGCCTTCACTTTTGTGCTTATGAAGAGTGTTTGTGAGCATGTGCCTGAATTTTTGTTTCGTCTTTATGGCACAGTCGTGCAGTATTTCTTACCACACAGATCCCACTGATGAGCTCTGTGTTCCAGTTATACGTTTATAAAGTATAGAGTGTGAATATATGTGTATAAATAACTGATAGATTTGATACATTACTTTGCCTGTAAAGACAAATGCATATCCTTCATTTAAAGTGATTGTCGAGACTGAAACCTTAGCAGTACGTTATGGAATTTTTTTTTTTTTTCTGAAAACGTTTCCTTTTTTCTTTATTCCCTTGTAATACGGTCTGAAACAAGTGATGTACTTTTTGTTGTTGTTTTGGCATTGTAGCCATATTAAGTTTTATGGTCTTCTGTTATTCAAAATAATACAGATTAAACTGGAAACTGTACATTAAATCAAATTTAAGAAAAAAAATGTATTCTCTTCTCTGATAACTTTTTGATTTTCTTCAAAAAAAAGCATGGCCTATAAGGGATATCACATGATCAACCGTCCCTTTTATGTACAACAAAGTTGACTCATATCAATACAAAATAGAGGAAGTTCTTAGAGTTTGCATGACTTCTTTTTTTTATTTTTTTTAAGCAATGTTATGATGATAAAATTCATGCTTAAATCAGGACACAAACCACCAGTTTTACCCTTGATGGAATACGGTTTTATTTCACAGCTTTTGTCCATCTGACACACACACACACACACACTTTCTCTGACGTGAGGTTGCCAACAACTGACAAAACAGGTGGATCCTGCCTGTACATATGACTTCTGCTTTTGTTTTCGGTTGTTTTGACCAAGGTCTCTTTTGGATAGGCACGCAACAGGGAAAAGAGTGTGACAAGGATGTGCCGTGCAGGCCTTTTTACCTTTCAAGGACAAACAACAGCACAAGGTACAGGCAAGGTGTAAATCAAAGGCAGAAGACAGAAAATACTTTATATGAGAAGACAAAGAAAAACAACAAAGGGCCGAGGACTGACCCAGAAGACATTTAAGAGACTTTCTGGTCCCACAAACCTGAAGTCAGCATTTGATTTGAGCGACAGACAGTTAATGTTACCTAACACAGCAAATCACTTTTTACTCTAGAATTACAAAATCCATTTGGATGTTTCTGAATCATGGTGGTTTAAGATTAAACCACAAGTTTAATGTTTCATCATATTCTCATTTCAATATTTCACAAGATTTTATTGAAATGGCTTTTGACCCAGAATTAGGAACATTTAATTACAAAATACACGCTTAGAAACATCATATTAGAAAACTAAATGACTTTTCATCTAGCATTATCTCCCACTTCCTGACGTTGAGATAAATTCAGTCAACTGTGCCCTGTCGCCATGGCAATATTGACTGTGCTGGTGTTGTATTTTCACGAGTGCTAAACAAACATGTTTTCGTACCTTAAACATTCACATTATAGTGAATTGCTGTACATTAAGAAATTACAATCCCTTAAAACAAAATGTATCAGCCAAAGTGGAGGGGTTTACCATTTGAGGCTGTGACCTAGGCTTCTACTTTTTAAAGGGGGGATTCACACAAAAGCATTCATGCAAGCCTAATCGGGTCTAATTTGTTCAAAATATACATTAAAGGTGGTTAATATGAATGTCTAAATGAACCAAGGATGCGTGGAGACTTTGTTTTTGGTTGTTGCGAGCCATTTTGTATAAGTACTGATATATTTTGGGAGAATATCAGTCACACAATCCATCTGAAGAGCACAGCCCATAAAGTTTTGCACTTTAATATTTAATTTCTGATAAGGTAAAATCATAATCATGCACTCACACAAGCTTGTGTTTTAAAATTAAACTAATTCATTAAATCAAATATTTATATATGAGAATAAACATGCTTCACTAACAAAAATTAACTTACTTCCTCTGAATCAGAAGCCTTAAGGTTCCTTTTGGAACCAGGAACCTTGGTCACAGCCTAGTGAACAGATCACTACTATGTTCACTAAAGGCCAATTCACACCGCACAGACAAACACCAACAAACAAGTTGGCTGTTGGATTTCGAATTTTATGGAAAATAACTCGTTCACACTGCCCCAACAGACACGACAAACACTGATTGAACATGTTCACTCGGGTGAAAACAAACCACGACCAACACCGACAGGGGTAACACACTGATCACACAAAACCCAACAAACATGTACAAACAAGTTTGTAGGCATTTGTCTGTGCAGTGTGAATTGGCCTTAATACAGCACAAAAGAAACCCGACTTTGCACCTGCAAGTTCCTCTCCAGTCATTAAGCTGGTTTAAAGAACTAAGCCAACAAATAAAAGCAATGAGAATAAAATAAAATGGTATGACACATAAGAGGAGTACTTTTCCCATAAAGTACTGCTTGTGGCAGCACTGTGACCCACAGGGCTTCCATTAGGGCAAGAGATACAGTGAGGTCATGGACAGTCACAGACTCTCTACTTCTTCCTGTAGGCCAGAGCTCCAAAAGCCAATACTGCAGCGATGGCCACCAGGGCAGCACCACCGTATAGCAGCACGGGGAGGTCAGAGGTCTCAGGTTGTGGCACTGACTTTGTCTGCACCTCAGGAGGGGTCGGAACAGGGAGGTTGTGGGCCGGGGAGAAGGCCTTCAGATCAACCTCTGGAAGTACCTCCTGCTCCAGGGTTGCTTGGACCACTTCCGGCTCTAGATCAGGTGGGGGTGATGATTGTGGCTCCACAGGAGCTGGAACAGGCTGAGATTGAAGCTCAGGCACGGGGAACGAGGCGGTAGCAGCAGCAGGGGCGGCTGGGTGCTCTAGCTCTACTAAGGCTGGAGGTGGAGGGATCTCCATCACGGTTGGTTCCACAATCGGCTCAGGTGCACTCTGCACAGACTCTGCAGTAGGTGCTTCTTCTCGGACAGCAGCGAGTTCACTCTCACTGCCCAGCACGCTAAGTACGCTACTCTGCAGTTCCCCTTCCTCCACCGTCTCCCCACCTTCTTCAAGCAGTTCGGCATCTTCACGCTCCACATGGACAATGTCAGAGTTCGAGGAGTTGTTCTCGCTTTGCTCCTCAACTAACGCCACTCCCTCGGCGCTGTCCAGACTCTTGGCGTCGTCTGGGTCCATCATGCCAACCTGCGCCCAAGACTCGTGCCCTATCAGAGACACAGGAAGACTCTCTGTCTGCCAGGAAGCTGGCCCACTGCTATCTCCAAGAGTCAGTAGTGAAGCAGGAGGGCTTAGCTGATCCGAGGTCTGTTCACCTGACAGGATGTAGATGTCGTTACTGTCCTCGGCTATGATCACGCCAGGGTCCTCAGCTTCATCCAGGCTGAACACAGTGCCCTGTAATGTAAAGAGTGGAAATATTAATCAGTTGGTCCATTAATCATTTTTTATTCCAAACACATATATTCTACTCTTTCTATTCTATTCTTCTATAAATGAGAAATAATAATAAAAAAAAATATTAAAGAAATCTATATTAAAACATGAATGTTGTTCAATATTCCAATGAAGGTCTATTACGTAGAACACAACTTTGTTGTTTTTGCAACATCCGAGTCATAAGAACACATCTTTACGATTCATTTTTAAACCTGTGGTAAGACAATGTACGTATGCATTTGCGTCTGTGGTGATTCCAAATGTCTAATCTCATTACCTTTCTTTACCACTGGAACAAAAACATGCAATATGTTTGTTTTTATTTTTAACTGTGTGCATTTCCTTATATGGTAAGCCTGACTGTGTCTGCAAATCATTCTCATGGAGACCATTCTCATGGTCAATGTATAGTCATTACAATACCAAAATTCATATGCAAAATTATTCATTTTATTTTTTTTATTTTCAAAAACGTGCACTAGCATTCAAAGGATTGGGGTCAGTAAGATTTTTTTGAATAAATTAACACTTATAAGGTTAATATAAGGGTGCAATAAATTGATCAATAGTAAAAGAGTAAGGTCATTTATAATGTCACAAAAGATTTCTATTTCAAATAAATGCTTTTTAAATTATTTTTTATTTATTTCTATTCAAAGAATCCTGGAAAAAAAATGCATTACGGTTTTTAAAAACATATTAAGCACCACAACTGTTTTCAACATTGATAATAATAGTAAATGAGTCTTGAGTACCAAATCAACATATTAGAATCATTTCTGAAGGATCATGAAGTAATAGGAAAATTTATATTTGCCACCACAGGAATAAATCACACTTTCATATATATTAAAATGTTAATTATTTTAAATTGTAACAATATTTAACAATACTACTATTTTTATTGTATTTAATCAAATAAATGCAGCTTTGATGAGTGTAAGTTTTAATCAAAATATATATATTTTAAATCATACCACCCCAAACTTTGAATGGTATTGTAGCTTGTTAAAATAAAACATATTTATTAAACACACACACACCAACTTTCAAACAGAATCATTGGAGTATGTCTTTTCTAGTACTTGGAATTAACCATGACAGGAATCATTTGTCACTGAATTTCTTATGCCACCCAGTGGAGTGTGAGAGTAATACAGCTCTAATAATAAATTCTCTCTACTTCATGGTTGACTAAACAAAATCAACTTTAAAATGCAAAGCTGCAGTGATGGACACTTATTAACTGAATAATATTTTAGTGTATTTGGCTGATAAAAGCTTTTATTCAGTTCTCCTAGTTCTTGCGCAAAAACAAAAAAAAAGAGTACATAAATAGATGCAGCAAATCAAGTTGAAAACAGTGTTGATTGGTTCTTATTATCTAAAATAACTTGAATGAAGCATATTCTTCAAAAACACACAAAGACAGACCTGAGGGAAACATTCACAATAAGGAAAGACCTCAGCAGGAAGTGTGTTAATCCACTCTCCACCTCTATTCACTGTACTGTTGGCCAGGGTCCCTCCTATCTAGTCATGTCTTTATCTTCCTCGGTCACCCACACAATGATATCAACATACAGCTGTGGTGTGCGCATATGCCACTGAGTTCGGCATGTCTACCACTACTAGGTCAAGCATGCAAAATGAGCCTATTTGAATTTGAACTCATTGTCTGTAAATACGTCAGTTTCTGCTCATTTGCATTAAAAAAAATTATATACTGCCCCTTGCTCATCTTAAAAGACACCAATCTGCTCACTGTGCCTTTTCTGGTCTTTTAGATTTCAGTAATCCACCACTGTGCACGTGCATCTAGTTTCACATGTAATCCTGTCTCACATTAACGTTTTCAAAAACACATTAGACCCCAGCATCTGGATTAAAATCTGATGGCCAACAGAGAGAGGACCATAAGCACACAACCAGTAGAATGTGACAGTGACTTATATATATATATATATATATATATATAGATAACCATCACGTGTAACCTAAAAATAACTAAATAGTCATATGGCTTTAGAGAGTTTCCAAAGAAACCAGTGGACCATGTGCACTTCAACATTCATATATTAAGACAGAAATTCATTTATTTATTTTTTAATAAAAAATGCATGGCAAACACAACAAACAAACAACAGGTTATGTCAGTAAAGTCAAAAGTTTAGGGTTGAGATTCTACTTTGAAAGGTCTGTTATGGAGGCTTTCATCAAGGCTGCATTTATTAATGTTTAGAAACATTTCTTATTATCAAGGTGGAAATCAGTTCTACCAAATATTTTGTGGAAACAATACATTTATCAGGATTCTTTAATGAATAGAAAGTTCAAAAGAACAGAATTTTCATTTATTTGAAATTGTATATCTTTACTGTCATTTTACTGTCATAGATTTAATGCAAATAAACAAATTTATTTTAAAAAAAAATTGTACCTGCCCCAAAACTTCGAATGGCAGTGTATAATGAGCTATGTAGCATGCACATATTATACTTGACTTGCAGGTGATAATTTTTTATGAAAATGACAAAATAATCTGTGGCAAGTAAAGACACCTACTTAAATGCATGTGAAACCATCACAGAAAACTAGATTGGGATGGATTTGAGAATGTTGAGTTATTTTTAAGCCGATTAAATAAACCCAAGAAAAAAAGTAACAAAAACCCTATTTACATAGTCTAAAATTGACAATACCTTTTTGAATGGTGGAGTAAGATGGATGTTTCCTGCAAGATTAGGCTTGCTTTCCTATCCAGAGACTGTCTAAAAATGAAGTTATGCTGCAAGGCGTGTTCTCTTAGGTGAGCCTTGTGTGCCTATACACCACTCCACCCTAAGTACATGTACCCGCCCTCACCTAAAGACAAAAACTCACCCATATCTGCCAAACTCAAATGCTTTCGCATTCACACAAGAGTGCAATATTGAAGATAGGGTGGTGTACAGAGGATACAACCAGTCTAGTGATAACCATTTAGTAATACTGAGCTGCTAATAAGTATGAGAACTGTGTATACTAAACATACTCCAGTATAGTTCAATAGAGTGGGTCTCTAATGCTTCCAGAAACTGCATTTTTGGATCAAAATACAGTAAAACAGTAATATTAAAAAACTATTTTACAACTTAAAATAACTATTCTAATATATTTCAAGAACAGCATTTATTTGAAATAGAAATCTTGTGTAAATCCATCATACATGTCTTTACTGTCACTTTTGAACAATTAAATGCATCCTTGCAAAATAAAAGTATTAATTTAAAAAAATGTTTAAATCTTACTGATCCCAAACTTTTGAACAGTAATGTCCATAAATGTGAATGCTCATACATTCTGAATCCCAATCACTGTAGACACTAGACATCTTTTAGACAGTATATTCTACTTCTGACACACTTGTAAGGCAGTTTCTATTGTTGAGGCATCCACACCAAAGATAAACGTATCTTGTCTGTTGAGGGTGCACCACACATGTGGATTTCCACATACTGTACCATTTGACTGTGAATGCTGAACTGTGTCTGCTGATAAGAAGACCAGTTTACCCACTGCAACCTACTGGAGGAAACTCACCGCATAAGCCTGCTCATTCACTAATAAACAGAGCATTAGCCTTTCACAGACTTGACCCTTAATGGGTTAACATTGCCCCTTTAAAACAACGAAACATATACTAAATGTACGCAAGCAAATACTTAATATTGTTAAACTGAATCCAAACCAAATTTGGATACTAGCTGAAAGATTCCTCTGAATCTCCCATAAGATGTCATGCATACAGGTCACCATCTCAACTAGCGCTGTGAATAGTTTGGAGGCAATCAAACTGGGACAGCCTTGCTCCAGCTGAATCATAGGAGGATTTATCAGATTTATTTCTGTTCTTCATCTCTGGAGTGTGTGGGGGTGGCGTAAGGCCTCTGTTTGTGTGATGAGAGCAGCACATCTCCTGTAAAATGTAGTTACGTAAGAGGCCGGGCCGAGCGATCTGATGTGACTTGAGCACCGCTCTCAGCACCTACTGATATACAGACAGGGGCACACTGCTTTAGTCCAGTTTGTCTGTACCAGCACAACAGGAGCACAATTACATCACATCATACCATCTCAAGAATCTTTGCTGTGCCATGTGACACAGACACCCTGAAGGTCAACTCTGTTGCGTACAGAGCAGACAGAGGGACAAGAACGGGATAAGGGGTGGAGTAACTCACAAGACAAAATGTCCCTCACGTCCCACACACCGGGTATCTGTTACCCCTTTGGTGGTGCTTTGAACGCTTTCCCTTGACCTACAGGAGTTATCATGATCAGAGCAGACAGCGTGATTCAGCGGGAACACATCATTGACTTATGCTGTATTTTAGTTTTCAAAATGGCTTCTCGCTGCTTTGCCCTGGGTTTTGCAGAATAGACACACACAAAGATCCCTTTTCATTTAATGTCACTGACTTTGGGTCTCATTCATGAATTGCGTATTAAAACCATTTATACATGAATTGACACTATATTGATAAAGCAATTTAGAATGTTTTAGCAAACAATTTACTCAGAAATTCATTCTCATGTTCTACTAACAAGGCTTATTTTATTGTTTTGTAATACTATAACAATTATTGTACTTCTTCAAAGGTGCAAAAAAAACAGTGACTGCCCAAAACACAATTATATTCATCTAAAAGCAGTACTGAGCAAACAAAGTCCCTCCAACTGCAGTCACTTCAACACTAAAACAGGTTAATCCTCAAATTTAATATTTAAATTTAAATTAAATTTAAATTTAATGGACAGAACTAAATGGAGAATTAAACCTTGTGAGAGTGTTCTTGTGTTTGCCATTTTATTATCCATTTACAACTTTGTTGCCACTGCCATTACGTAATGGAGAGCAAGAAAGCGGTCAAAAAGACCTAAATCGATAACATTTATATTTTTGTAAAATGGACCACAAGAGAACATCTAGAAGAAAGCAGCTGTCCTACCTGCCTGTGTTCGGCACAAAACTCCAGCAGTGACCACAAGGAAATAAAGTGAATGAGAGAGAGAAAGTATAGGCAGGATAAAGGTTGCTGTCAGAGTAATGGGGCTGGAACTGCTGAGCAGGAGGTCTGGTTTGTTTGCACACGGTCTCCTCCTCGTCAGACTCCTCCCAGCTGCATTCAAACTCTCACAGATGCTTATCCCGTATCATCTAAGCCAAAGCTCTCCCTCCATCACTGGAATGTGGTCCTGTACTGAGCGGCAGTTTAAAACAATGGTTTCCCCTCCTCCCTGTGTCACTGTCAATGGCACTCTAATTAAATTAATCCTTCTGACTGAGTTCTTCAGCTTGCACACAGAATGCATGAACTGAGTCTTTCATACGGACGGCCCTCATCTGAGATACAGTGTGACCTAAATAGGATGTTATAAACAAACAAGAACTACATCATGCTTTACGACATCATCTGACAGACATGAAGAGCTGTTCTCATAAAACATTTGCATGAGGGTATGATAGCCTTCCGAAATTAACAATCTTGAGTTTGAACTATCAAATTACATACAATTACATTTTGATAAGATTAATGGGAATGAGTGTGCGCATTATGCAAAACATTAAGTTAAAGAGTAATTTTTTATTATGATCTTTAATGTGAAGTTGCAAAGAGTTATAAATATAAACAAATATGCTCATGATCACCACAGCATGACAGAAGCACCCTAAAGTTATCAATGTCCATAAAGGTGAGAGGAAGGTGAAATTGTTGATGAAACACTAAACAAAGTTATCTCAGCCATCACATAGCCACGTAATGAGTTTTTAAAAAACACTGCTAAGGATTGTATGGATAACATAGTCCTTCTCACTTTGAGCAAAAAATTTGAACAAAGTATCATTTGTCAACATACAATGTGCTGGTGAAGTTATTCTAGCATTATCCAGCAGCAGCTGAATTAGGTAATATGTTAAAAAAATGAGCACAGCTCTGGCTCCCTCTCCTGACAGGAGTCTTGAAACACAGTGAACGACCATTCCTCCCCAGTTTTGTATTTTTAACTGACCTTCACCTCTTTAGGGCAGTGGTTCTCAACCAGGGGGCCTCAGCAAACCCCCAAGATGAATTATTATAATTAATATATTATCATCAGTAAAATTAATATTCATAATATTAATGATAAATTAAAATAATTTAACTTTAAATGCTAAAAAATGCATGAAATTACTATATATTAATATATTATTCAATAACTAGAGTTTCAGATTATAAAAAAAGATTAAAAACACTGGGGAAAATATCTTATCTACAGATTGTGTGTTGGACAATGGGGACCTTTTAGATAAAAAGGTCAAGAACCACTGCTTTAGGGACACCCAGTTAGACACTTATACTGTCATTTGTTTCATAAGTTGCTAATAGGTTGCACAGACATTAATTTATCATTGAGTGCTGTGCATTTGTTTTGTGAACTCACATAATGCACAACTACACCAGAAAAAGAGACATAGAAATGTGCATTACTGATAGAAAAAAAACTGGCTATACCATCCAGGTCGAAATACAGACAGTACATCACCCATCAATTATAAGTCACTCACCCATCCACCCTGCTGAATGATGAAGTCTGATTGCGATTCCTCAAGGTAACGCAAACCATGGTGTAGCAGTGCTTCCAGTGGCCATGTTCAAGGGCAAAATGGAGATTCCTGGAGCAGGAATGTGACCTCAGCAACTGTGGACAAACACTTCTAGAACTGTAATGGTGCTGTTAGCAACCCAGATTCTCAGCAAAACAGCTCTATGGACAGTATAAGAGGTGCTAGAGCAAGAGGAGAGAACTATTGCTGTAGTGACTGTTTTTATTCGTTTTTTTCTCTCAACATCTACACTGCTTTGCTGATACAGACATGTACATTTATGTTTATAAAATCTACCCCATTAGATGCATATCGAATGTATTTTACACAGCGAAAACACAAGCTGACAATCTAGACAGCACAGTTAATGTATACAATAGTGTGGGTAATGTTTATATGGTTGACAACAAACAGGACTCGATTTTATTCAAATGATTAAATATCTTCAATTCATTTTGGTTTTAATGGTTTTCATCACTGAATTCAATGATGAACTGTCTTTAACTGAAAAATGAGTGTTTACTATTGTCATTTTGCATTATTGACACTATTTTCCTAATTAATGCTGTTCAGTTGCTTTGTCACAATCTGTATTGTTAAAAGCGCTATATAAATAAAGGTGACTTGACTTGACTTTAATAAGATTTCCCTAAGAAATAGACAAGAATGAACCTGGTGTCCTCAGTGATTCCTATTATTTCTGACAACATAGCACTTGAATGCAACAAAATAATAATTATGATTCTAGAATTGGAAAGTAAGAAATTCCAAATAGCATGTAAAGGCAGTATTTGTTCACTGTGGTATGTACATGACTTTTGTGATAATGCATCTCAATGTATGGGATGATATTAGACTCAAAATGATTAATTGATGCACGCACAATTATCCATGTACTGCATACATTTTATACATGTATCTTACTAACCACAAACAAATGCCTTTCAATTTGAGTCTGTGGAATTCGGGATTAAATGATTGTGCAGCAATTTGTACAAATACAGACATGTTTGTGAATAAAAATGTTCTGTTCTGCATTAATATATCATAAATTGCTCATGCAAAAAGGAGTCCGTGCATATGTGGATCAGGTGGCACACGTGAATTAATTGACGTCTAGTTCGAGTCAATCTTGTTCGCTTCATTTGGATTTTGAGACTTAATTTTCGCAGTTTACAGCATTTCAAGTCCCCCACACACACAACTACCAACGAACAAGGCCCAGTGCAATTCATTAACGTGTACACGATTTGAAAAATTCGCAAATGTGTGTCACTACACTGAAACAAATGCTTTTCAGCCGGTGTCTGCAGAGTTAAGAATTACATTAATGTGCAGCATTTTGTTCAAATAGAGACATATTTGTGAATACAAATGTTATAGTTTGTATTAAAGTATCATGATTTGTGCATGTAGCGATTAAAATGTGCATTTGTGGATCAGGTGACACGCGTGCATTCATTCACATCTCTTCTGAGTCGATTCTATTTGATTCATTTGAATTTTGAGACTTTCGTTCTGCCCTTTTAGCCTTGCCCAACCACACACACACAGTTTGTGATCCACGTGCAGCTGAGCCACAGAAAATCAGCGACCACTAGATGGCACTAGCCCCAGTCACATGTGCGCATTCAATTGAGTACGGTTTTGTTTCTTTTTGGTTTGGCTATTCTCCTCTACCATAGAAATATAATAAAGATGTTTTATTGAACTTGTTCTAACTTAACTTGTCTTAAGACACAGAATAGCTTATATTAATTTTGCCAAACAAGAACTTTGTGATGGTACCTGTGTGTGTGTGGTTGGGCAAGGCTAAAAGAGCAGAACGAAAGTCTCAAAATTCAAATTAATCAAACAGAATCGACTCAGCAGAGACGTGAATTAATGCACGCGTGTCACCTGATCCACAAATGCACATTTTAATCGCTACATGCACAAATCATAATACTTTAAAGGGGTCATATGATGCAATTTAAATTTTTCCTTTCTTTTTGGAGTGTTACAAGCTCTTGGTGCATAAAGAAGATCTGTAAAGTTGCAAAGACTAAAGTCTCAAATCCAAAGAGATATTCTTTATCAACCCCGCCTACCTAAAACGGCTCATTCTAACACGCCCCCACATGTCTACGTCACTATGTGGCAACATTAGCATAATGCGCCCAAATGTGCACGCAAAGAAAGAAGGTGTGGTTTCAGGAACAGCAGTAATGCTGATGCAGCCATGTCAGGGAGACACTGTGTGTTTCAGTGCGAAAGAAAAAGCACTTTATTTGGCCTTGACACACATTTGCGAATGTTAATGAATTGCACTGGGCCTTGTTCATTGGTAGTTGTGAGTGTGGGGGACGTGAAATGCTGTAAACTGCGAAAATGAAGTCTCAAAATCCAAATGAACCGAACAAGATCGACTCCATCGAACTGATCCACATATGCACGGATTCCTTTTTGCATGTGCAATTTATGATATATTAATGCAGAACAGAACATTTTATTCGCAAGCATATCTGTATTTGTACAAATCACTGCACAATCATTTAATCCCGAATTTCACAGACTCAAATTGAAAGGCATTTGTTTGTGGTTAGTAAGATACATGTATAAAATGTATGCAGTACATGGATAATTGTGCGTGCATCTATTAATCATGTTGAGTCTAATATCATCCCATATCAATGATTCATAAGTCTATCTGAAAGATTCAAGAGTCTATTTGTTACACCTGAATATTTTTATTAAAACTTTTCAAAACTTTTACAATTTTGCAATTTTGTACTGCATAAAGCAGAAGACTTTTTTCCCATGCATGCACATGTAAAATGTGATTTTGTGCACTTGCACTACAACATACAACTGCTGCCTGTTTTCTTGCATAGGCGAGACAAGCATACCATTGAAAGTTTTGTCATTGATTTGAGATTAAATTAAACTCCTTATCATTCTTGCCAGGCAGGCAGTTTGTACGTACTAATTTGTGGATGTGAATTCTTACCCTCCGCTGTCTCTGAGGGTCTTGATCTTAATGGTGGGGGCAGGCTGAGGTAGCTGAGAATGACATACTTGGTCTCATAGTGAAATCCTTCAGGCACTGTGGTGGAGGAGCCAGAGGCAGCCATTTAAGAGAAATGTCAGGCACTCAGGGACATGCACGACCAAAAGACTGTGTTCAAGAGCCCTAGAACAAACAAACAATTTATAAAGCATTTATAAGTTAATCTTACAATTTGGGGAACTTCTGGCATCTGTTCCACTAAGAAAAACAAAAGCTTTTTCTTTTTGTTAAGTATGTGAACATAAACTGTTGTTATAACCTTAAGACAACGACTTTCACCTGTGGAGAACAAAGATAGTAGGCAGAACAGTGACTGACTGACAGCCTCAGTCACCATTCACATTTATTGCAACCTTTTATTCCATAAAATGAAAGTGACTGAGGTTGTCATTGAGCATAACATTCCCAGCATGAGTAAGTGATGACAGAAAGTTTATATAGTGGTGAATTATTTCACGACAACTCAGCAGCTTGTGTGTAAGCTGCCAGTCTGAAACAGAAACACAGACGTAACTAAAACGGTTACGTAAGATTATTTCACAAACCCCTTGACTGATATGTGAATTCTTTCCATGCATGCAACACTACAAGACACCCAACTTTAAAGTTGCTCAAGTTTGCCTCTTGACCACTTCAAAACTGGACAGTTCCTGTAACACTGCAACGCGCATTTCTGCTGGCAAATGTCTCGAAAGTGACGTGAGATATTTGCACTAACGAAGCCCGCCACATTTAATAGAACACGGTGTACAATGTAGCGCACGCGGACACCCACTGAACCTCTCTGCGTGCTCGCCACACCTACTCGCATGCCCGAGCAGCCAGCTAGCCGCTAAAGTTTAAACATAACCTGTTAGTGTCACTCATAACATAACATGCTACTCATTTAACGTGAACATGCTGCGACTTAACTTGAACGTGTCGTACCTCTGCGCCAGTGATAATTTTGTTCGCTCAGAGGGTCTAACAAATGTGCTCCCCCGGTTTCTTTCACAGTTAACTATAAACTGCCTTGCTTGTGGGATGGCTAACTGTTGAGAGTAGACGTGCGCATGCGCGGAGCCCATGCCGCGCGTGTGCGGGAGGACGAAGTCAGGCTCGCTGCTATGGGGTGTATGGGGTGTGCTATCCGCCTTGATTGTATTTCTGCTCCTATGAGGACGTGGAAACGAGAAGGTCAAGGATAGAGTGGGGAACAGAACGGAGTCTTATTCAGCACCCGTTCCATTTTTAACTAAACGTATTTTCGTTCACATTCAGTTCTCGAACGGGCAAGAATGACTCACATGTGTCGGCTCTTTTTTAGTGAATCACGCATCGCGCGATCAGTTCGATTCACGAACAAATGACTCTTATGAATCGAATCAACACACAACCGAGCGGTTATTGCTTTGATAAATCTTACTGATTTTTGATTCAACTGTTAAACATAACTTCCTACCAGTGACTGTTGTAGTGTTTTATTACATGACAACGTGAATATATACAGAATATCCTCTTGAGAACCATAAAAAAATGTGTGATTTTTTGTGTCATTACATTGGTTGAAGCATAAGAAACAAATGTAAAAAAAACATTTTTGAAAAAAATATATTTTATTCTATGTCCTTGTAGAGGACGTCAGGACTAAGTTATTCAAAAAAAAAAATAGACAGGAAAAGGCATTTATAGGCAAAAACAATGATTTATTTATTTTTCTGTTTTTAAGGTTTCAGGCTATTTTTAACTTTCAAACTTTGTACAAAGATGATTCTCAACTATTTTATGAAAGATATAACAGAATGATTTGATATACTATTTTACTTCATGCAATATGTGCGTAAAATATCCATAAATTGATATTCCTATGTATCTGCATATGATTTGCATATTAATATGTTCTTGGGGCAAACCATAATGAAAAAAGAAGTGATGTAATGACTTGGCAACATTTTCATAAGAATAACTCATATTTCATAGGAATATTGATCTATAATTTATTTCCATATTGACTTGTGTCTGTGTCTCCCCAAAAATGCCTGATTAACATGCCGTTTGTCCTGGTGTCCTCTACAGAAGACATGTATGAAAATGATGCCTTGTTTCGTAACAAAAAGTCATATTCCGATTTGAAACGCCATAACATTTTTCTGAGATGTTTATTTATAACAAACAATTTGAAAATTAGTCCGATTTAAATGATAATTGCAAAATATTATCATATTTCCATAAGAGTGCTAAATTTTATGATTCTGTCAATATAAGTCATTTTTAAAGAACAAAGAGAAGGTGTGTTTATGATCAAACCTCCAAACATTTGATATCCCTGAATGTGCTCTGTACATCCAGATTTAAAACTGTGGCATGTATGGTCTCAGAGAAATTCACTAAAATATAATGTCCTCTACAGAGGACAAAAGTCTACGCCTGGGGCCCAGGAGGATACGAGTTGTACTGCAATCAGTGGTAGGCCTATTTTAGGAATGTATGCAACATGAATGTATGCAACGTTATCACATTTTTTGTTTAATGTTTTTAAACTACTATGAAGTACTAATATTGAATTGCATTGCCTGTAAAAAGTCATTAAAAGTCAGTCTAAGTACACCTTTTTGTTCTGTTGCAGGTTTTTAATATGATGCATGGGTGTAAAGAAGAATAAGAAATCAACGTTTTAAGTCTTCAAGAGAAAGGCTTTCTCTTACTAGCCAAAAACAAAATAAGATTTATTAAATAAAAACTTCTGTGTCACATGCATGGATATGAAATCTTATATGTGCCCCAGAAGCAACCATAACACAATACAGTCAAGTGTGCACATGGCATTTAACAGTATTTGCTGCCCTCAAATGGTGCAAGACCTGAACATGTAGTTTTTTTACTCAAAAGCAAATTGACACAATTTCACATTCATGAAAATTTACCAGCATATCATGTTCACAAATACAAAATTAGACCATTCCATTTCAAACAAAGAACAGCACAAAAAGTTAAATGGTTATATATTAGGTAAATATCTATGCAAATATATTACATAATTAGACAACAATTTAAATGCAATAGTATAAAATGTGATAATTATATATCATAAATATCTTTTTAGGGAATGTTTTTATAATAATTATATCATACACATTTATGTACTGAAACAATATCCTTTGAAGAGGTGGAATACAATACCATTTTACCATTTTCAAGCAATATATTGTTAAAGTTTGAGAACAATGCTAACATATGCATAAAAAGGCTATGGTCTTTACAAATTAAAAGATATTTCATCATGTTTATCAAATGCTTTATGTTATTATTTTTAGGTTAGGGAGAGACAAGGTATTTGAAATGTCCTGAGGGTGTCATCACTGAGCATTTGTTTTGGTGGTAAGGGTCGGGGTGCCTTTCTGTTGTTCCTATTTCCATGTTTTCATTTATTTTCATGGTTCATTGTTTGATTATCAAAATTAATCTCTGCCTGTACAAATATTGCACAATAATAATAATATGTCTAATATAATCTGGGTCTTATTTGGAGCCACTAAAAGAATGAATCAGAAAGGAAAAGCTTAACTGACTGAATATCCTTCAGACACAAAAAGTGTTTTCCAAAATAATGATGTTTACAGTACTTTTACTGTTTGTACAACAGACATATGAAAAAATATCAGTTGACATGTCAAACATCTAAAGCAATTCTAGTTTCTGATCTTTACTGGAAAATAGGACAACAAACTTTCACAGACAACTATCAAGCATAACATACAAGTAAGTTTTATTTTAAATTACATAGTTTGTATTTACATTTCAAAATATGAAATACATTAAAGATAAGCATTCTTATGCTCAGAAACTGTAATAAATATGTGTGTTATGATGGGGAAAAACAGTAAGTAAATATGGTGAAACTACTTAAGACTTACAACAAATCTGCATAGTTTTGAAGTTGCTGGTCATTTGTGTCTGCCATGCTGAATAGACTTTTATCTAATTTGCCACAGAAAAGCACTGTACAAAGTCAAAGGTTTGAGATGGGATCTTTACTCTGAAGTGCAGGAGTGGTGGGGTCATGACTGGGTTTTGCAGGTATGCACATCTACCTCCTCTTGGCAGTCCCTGCAGTGAACAGCACAACACCAGTGGAACTTGCACTCACACTTGGTGGTGCGGCTCACGCGTGATGTGTCATAGCCCCGCCCACAACACATGACCTCACAGCTGTCAGCCCCACGGGACGTGCGGTTGCACACTCGCCCACCTGTGCCCACAGAACCTGCAATGAAGCAAAAATTTAAATGAGACATCCTAGGTTTTAGTGAGCTAAAACATGAACGGCTACATCAAAAATGTTCAAGGTATAGATCCTCGCTCAAATAACCATGTTTTTATGCCCCTGGTCACTGATGAAGTACACTAAATGACCTAAAGTAACCTAAAGGACAAAGTAAGTCATTTAGCTAGACAACATGAGGAGCTTTGGATAAAATTATCACAAAAGCATCAGTAAAAATGTGTTGAAAACTACAAACCAGTCAGCAATGTTTTGCATCACATATCAATCATTTTCCAGCCAAAGTGTTTGAATTTGTGTTTAGTGCAACACTGTTTTTTCCCCAGTCTTTACAAACACACAGTTGCAAAAAGATTTTTGTTAAATTTTCAGTATTTTTGTCCCATTTTCACCCAAAATATGAAAACATACACAAGATAAATTTATTTAAAAAAGCAAAATTGTGTAACTTATTCAAACCTGTGCTTTCAGGATAAAAAACATACAAGATTATGTACACGATTTTGTGTAACATTATATATAATTAATATGCATGTATAAATATAAAATAAAATACAATTTGATGAAAACATTTTAATTGTTTTACAAATATTTATTTTAATGTGATACATTATTTTGTATTTTATATTGAATTAAAATTAATTGAAAAAATCTATTTTTAGGTTTATTTTATTTTTATCTTTTATTACATTTTACTATCTATCTATACACAGATATATAAAATAAAAAAAATTAAAAAATAATCAGAATTTTATACTAAAAAATATAATTTGTAAAAAAAAAAAATATATACATATATATATATATATATAATATACAAAAAAAACAAAAAAAAAAAACAAACAAACAAACAAAAAAAATATATATATATATATAAATGCATTGCTGCAAATAGAAATTTATAAAAAAAAAATTATAAGTAATAAGGCCAGTAAAAATATTAGCAGGGCAGGTAAAAATTGTTACTACTGGCCAAGCCTATGAATTAAAAGGAGTCGTCCACATACTTTCATCCATTTATTTATACATTGTCACTGTTGAAATCTATTAATGTAGTGAATATTTGAACAAATTCCTGAAGCAAGCAGACCTCAACTGAATAGTCATGTGTAGTGCCTGGCAGATGTCTGATAGTGTCCAGACAGTGCTGTCTTGAAGAGGCTGGGTTTGTCGGCACTATGTAAAAGGATGACCGCTTGGTCCTTGGTCAGATGAGGGACTGATGATAGAAGCTATCAAGCATTGCTCTGGGTCTTCATCACGTACTCATTTCATCGGCTCTAATCTCAACAACCCCGCCCTCTATGAGGCTGACGCATCACTGATTGTTGCTGATACAGAAATTGCTAAAGACCTTGTATAAACCCTTGCTTTCATGCTCCCTCTGAGTGACAATCTGCAGCCTTTGTTTATTAAGATCCCTTCAATGCCAATCAACACTCAGAACTATACAAACAACCATGTTTGTTTCTTGAGGTTTATTCAATATAAAGTGGTTTAGTCTAAGATTTTAAGGTAAGAACAATCTAGGCCAGAACTTCAAAACACTTCAGTCTACCAGTAGCGCCAGCATTGGTATGTCACCGCTGGTCTATTGAACTCAATTGCGAGTAGGCAGGCATGTGTCTGGGCATGACACAGCCACTCCCCCCCACAGCAGTTCATCAGGCTGGTATGCTGGGCTCATATCGTTTACATCATGGGCAGTCTTTACCTGAGCATGCATCTGCTTATTGAATTGAGATGAGGGGGTGCCAAGAGATGAGTTTAACATGTGTGACCATGGTGAGAGCTAGAAATTGATTTCACACTTTTGCAGTGGAGGTATAGTCTAGGTCTCCTAAAACTGACATCAAACGCACTGCCCGGCCAAGAAAGTTTCTCACAAACCACCACACTAGAGAGGTCAGCACTGAAATGTGTTGGTCTTGATTTTTTTTTAAACTTTCCTTCTGAGCTGATGAGAAAAAATAGACCAGATTAAAAAACATTGCCATTAATAAACATGATGTACCATATAGTAAAGGAATTGTTAATGCTGGACTTTATTGACTCCATATAATGAGAGTCAATAAAGTCCAGTGTTGTTTTGGCTTGACTTTCATTGTATGAGCAAAACATTTTTGTGTGTTTTTTTGTATTCCACAGAAGAAAGAAAACTCATATAGGTTTGGAATAGCATGACAATTTCATTTTTGGATGAACTAGTCCTTTAACTGTATATCCATTTTTTTTTCTCATACAATAGAAGTCAGTGAGGTCCTGTGCTGTTTTGGACCCCATTGACTTCCACTGTATGGACAAAAACTATTTTGTATTCTGCAGAAGAAAAAAGTTATACAGGTTTGGGAACGACAAGACAATTTTCATTTTTGGATGAACTAGCCCTTTAGCTTGGAAGATCTAAAGATTCAAAATTGACATGCTTATAAATGAGCAGTTATACTGACATACAATAAATAATAGATATCTAAAGTGGGTTCGACATCTCGGGGCACTTAAAAGAGACATGACCTACCTCTCTAAATATTCCTGCCAGTTTTAGGCAGAAAATATAGAGGTGCCGCCATAAAAGGCAGTGATTTATAGCATTTGCGCGTAGGGATTAAATTTCAGCTCCCGTTCTGCCCACAAAACTGTGGTAATGTGTCTAAACACAGCGTCACCTGATAGCAGGGATCATCTGCAGTCTGACAGGCACCCCCTCCCTTACTGCTTCCACATAAGTACACCTGGTGTTATTCAGTACGTACACACATACACAGAAAGGTAAAAAGAGATAAACCTCTGCCTTAGGGAGGGAATCTTAACCGGCATTCATGTTACAGGATTGGGTTATGACTATTGTGTATGTAATAACCAGCTAAATAGCTCACGTCCTCTGATTACAACTGTGTTTGGGGGCAAAGACTAATGCCTGCTGATTTTGAGCAGATTGTGGGAGTCTTGCAGGGTGGAAACACAAACAGTGGGTTATGAAACATGATGGAGTACTATAGCTTTGATTTATCAACTTAATTCACCTCTTGAGGTAATGCAAATAAAAGGATAGTTCACCCAAAAATGAAAATTCTGTTACTCAACTTCATGTAATTCCAAACCTGTATGCCTTTCTTTATGATGCAGAGCACAAAAAGACAATATTTGGAAAGTCAATGGGGTTCAGTGTTGTTTGGACCACATAAAAAAGTACAGTGAAACATTCTTCAAAATAGCTGCTTCTGTGTTTTTTTTTTAGGGTGAATTACCTTTTTAAGGTTAAGGTTTCCCTCAGCCCATTTACCATTTATGTTTTGGACCACATGTATGGACAAAAAAGAGTTGAAACATTCGCCAAAATATCTAGAAAGTCATACATGTTGGGTGAATTACCCTTTTGAAGTTAAGGTTTCCCTCAGCACACTTACCAGACTCATGGTCCCATATACAGTAGTCAGGTGAGTCTTCAAAGTAGACTAGGTCATTTTTGGTAGGCCTCTTAAACATCCTGTAGGCACTGGTGAAGCCTGTTCCATACTGGTTCATCACCACCTGAATGGCATTGTTGTACTTTTTGCGGAGATAGTCACCGGTCTGCCTGAAGTCTGCCATGGCCAACCAGCAGGTACGTACGTTGCATGAGCCACTGACACCATGACACTTACACTCTAGGTTCATAAAGCGCTTTACCGCCTGTGAATGAAAAAGGAGACAGTATCTAGAGTAAACCTCTGACTAGTCTCTCTGATTGCATGAGCCATGCAATGGTCATGGATTATTATTTGTCAAGATTTAATTTCTCAATATATGTCTCAACAGTATTGTTACCTTCCTCCCTGCACGGTTGTTGTGCAAGTTCATGAGCGCCCGTGCATCTCTCTCCTTCCTCTCCTTGGCGTCAATGAAGACCTGAGTGAACTTGATCGCGTGGTCAACATGATCGCTGCACCCACCCCAGTCGAAAGCTCCCTTGGCATCACGAGATGAGCCCTTTTTTCCAGGGTCGCAAGAGCAGTTTTCTAGTTCACCCTGACTGCACGCCCTTGTCAAGGTGTAGACCATACCTGCTGATGAGATGGCATAGACAAAGGCGGCCTCGCGACTGCCTAAGAAAAAGAAATAGTAGAAGGAATAGTGTTTAGTTTAGTTTAGTTAAGACATTTTTAATAAATTGTAGAGGAGTTGCTAATTGTTTAAACTTAATATAAAACGGAAAGCACAAGCACTTCTCAATCGGTCTTCTCAACAAACATGCTCCGCTCTTGAAGATGTGCACTGAGATTGGATTAGCACATTCTTTTGAACTTTCCACGAACTGTTCAATGGTCGCACAGAATTTCCTCTATCTTTGATCACCAGTTTAGGTGAAAGAATTCATATGTCCGCCTTCCTGTATTGTGAGGTCCTCGATGGGAACCAAGACTAGGCTATTAGGAAAACCGGATTCTTCTCGTGATCTCCGTGGAAAAGGCGCGGCAGCGAGAGCGTGGAGAAGACTTGTCATCGGTAATGTGGTGGAATTTAAATTGGCCTAATTTCATCCTTTTCAAGTCAATAAGGAAAGACTACTCTGAATCCTTTCAGTGGTTTTGAAATATCATAGTCCCTTTAAAAGAATTACTATAAGAGAAATTGTCTGATGTGGTTTAGAGGAGTCTGACTGCTCTGGTTTATTTTATTATAAATGTAATGCCTTCAAAATTGGATTGCTTGGTAAAGGGCATGATTGTAACCAGTGTGCAACTTATTCAATGACTTTCAGGACAACCAGGGGAAAACAAATCTCATTTTATGGGATCGCAATTGGAGGAAATGTCCTTTGGCGCCCCTAGCGCAGTCATACATTAAACTCGTTTACAATAGAACTACTATTCTATACTGCATGTGTAAAACTATACTAACCTGATAAATAGTAACAGTATTTAAGTTTTGTCGAGGTATTTTGTTTTCTCTAAGGCGAATTACTTTGCCTAGCTTATACATAGGAGCACTCTGATTAACCTGTAATCGTTTAAAAACGTCCGCATGAAAGCTGCAGAACAATAAGAATAGGCTACATACATAAAGAATACACAGTATTACAAAGTCAACAGCAGTGAGGATCCAGAACAGTCCAAGACTCACAGAGATCTCTACAAGATTTATAGACTAAGATTTTAACTTGTAGAAACGGTTTGACATTCCCACAAGCAATTCCGACATTGTGAAAAATGTTTGAACTCATACCGAACATATACTTGACATTGTTACAGCACCTTGGAGTGGACTGGTTCATATATCTCTCATCTTTCTCCAGTGAGAGTCAGCTAGCAGAACTTATCAATCCAAGTGGCTCTTTTAAATGCATTTTAATTGGCCTAACTTTTGCTTACTCACATAATAAATCTACAATGCATGCAACCAAAAGAAATTAAAGAGATAATAGAGCTGCCATTTTTTTGCTGCTCATAATCATCCAACATACTCAGAACAGGGCTTTCAGGAAACAGCTCACACATGCCATATTACATTTCATTGTCCCCTTAAGTCTGAAAATTAACATGGAATAAGTAATTGTTCAAAGTAACTGAAGATGACTGATCAAGCAACCAGCTTTCATCATGAAATTAGGTGAAGGGGGTCCTGCACCCGGAAATGACATTTCAGCACCACAGACAGCGACTGGCAATGGCTTTACTTTTTGGGCCACCCAGCAAAATCAAAGCAGAATTTCCCAAACACAAAGTGCTAGCTGGCCAGCTCTAACCGGCAGATGCCGCTGTAATAGAAGTTGACAACAGTTATTACACACAAAGCAAAGAAAAGGATGACGTTGTGGTTTGGGAAAAGTTTATGATGAAGTGCATTGTCTGAAAAACCAAAAGAACATTTAATAGATTTACTTGAATAACAGTCTAGAATAGCACCACAAAAAAGATGACTGTAACATATTCTTAACATACAATTATTAATAAAATATTGAGGTAACAACTTAAAATACATACATCATTGAAATACATAATCTCAAAAATAGTTCAGTTTTTTTGATTGTGACAGCACAAATAGAAGCCCTGCTCCAAGCAATCCAAGTCCAAGCACAGCAGCAAACCTCTTGTGGGGCTTTCCTCCCTGGCCATTATTGGAGACGGGTTGAAGAAGCTTAAAGTTGTATTCTGTGTGATCCACCTAAAGAGAAATTAAGAGTTAAAAGAGGATAAATTTTTATTATTAGAGCACACTATGTATATGTGTAGCACCATTTATATTAGCACCATATGTTGTTTGCTTTTGGGATTTGATAGAGCACTTCAGCAGAACAGATTTGGAGAAATTTTGCATTGCACCACTTGCTCCTCAATGGATCCTTCGCATGAGAGTCCAAACAGCTGCTAAAAAATATCACAGTAATCCACAAGTAAATCACACCACTTTTATTTTAACCAGAAGTAACGGCTTTAAAGGTCCCCTGAAATGCTTAGAAACAGCAGCATTACTCTTATGTGTTGACGTCATTTTAACTGAAACCGGAAGACAGGGCGGGACATATCAAGCAGCCCCGCCCCTTTTTAAAGTAGCCAATAGCGTTCGTTTATATCACAGCTTGGGCTAGAGCCGTTGAGCTCCGTAAAGCCGCATTTGACAGGGTATGGCCAGCCACAATCTCATCCAAATTGCTATAAAATACAGCATTCTGTGTAGAATTCAATTAACGTTAGCTCCAATACATTTCGTGGTCTGCGCCGACTCGCGCATGTGATACGCTCCGTGCTATCGTGTCTCTGGACCGGAGCGGAGTGTGTGTGTGGTGCGGTGGTTAACGTGAAACAGCGCGAAACCAGACTTCTTTTTTCCTCAATGGAAAGCATATTTACACGGTTTGAATCGTTCCCTGTCCCCTATATAGTGCACTACGTGCCATTCACAGAAAATACTAATTCTGTGGACAAGTGACCGATTTCAGCCGCGGCTTCAGCGTCTATTTTATAGTGTAGGGGGCGGGCTCATCGGATTCTAGAGAGCATTTGATTGGACAAAGTCTTTTTTTTTTTAATGCTTTATTAATTCAATTGCACAACAACATGAGGTATTACATATTCACATGATCAAATTAACATTATTAGCTGCCAGAGGAAAAAAAGAAAAGAAAAAGAAAATTACAAAGTTCAATGCTTTCAGAGCATTACATGTTTTCAATGCTTTTTTGTTTGTACTAAGAGATTTACATATAATGTAAAGTCATTTATAAAATGTGCAAAATTTGGTTTACATTGAGCCCACTTCTTATGTATATGGAATTTTCCTAATAAAATAAATGTATAATATGTTGTTCTTTACAATTCAAATTTTCGTTGTCTGTATAAAAAAAAGTACATCAAATAAAAATTTCTATCGTACACTATTTTTCTGTTAATAAAGAATTCCAAATCCTTCCAAAATAATCTCGAGGATTGGACAGAAAGTTTGATGAGAAGCTGAAGTACGATGTGACGACAAAAAAAACATCGAGACGTTTTGGCGGAAGTGACGAACTGAAAGCTTTGAATGCTTATATCTTCTAAATGCGAATTTTGTCACTGTTTTGGAGCACACTGCCTTATAGATAACCTTAAGACTAACATATTAATACTAACACCCAAAACATTTTTAATTTTGATTTCATGGAGACTAAGTTAAAACGTCTTTATGGATTCGTTTTTTTACAAACTCACAGCTTTTAGCTTCATATGACATTAACTGATGGACTGAAGTCTTGTAAAAAACGTATCACTTGTGTATTGTGATTTTTTTTATCAGCTATTTGAACTCTCATTCTGACGGCACCCATTCACTGCAGAGGATCCACAGGTGAGCAAGTGATGTAATGCTAAATTTCTCCAAATCGGTTTTTCAATGAAGAATTGGTCATTGAACCAGCTTTTGGTGCTTTTGGCAGTGTGGGCAGGTGCCAAGTCTTGCTGGAAAATGAAATCAGCATCTCCATAAAGCTTGTCAGCAGAAGGAAGCATGAAGTGCTCTAAAATTTCCTGGTAGATGGCTGCGTTGACTGTGGACTTCAGAAAACACTGAATTACGCAGTAATTCATGCAAAAGGAGGCCCTACCAAGTATTGAGTACATGTACAGTAAATGAACATACTTTCCAGAAGGCCAACAATTCACTAAAAATGTTTTTTTTATTGGTCTTATGAAGTATTCTAATTTGTTGAGATAGTGAATTGGTGGGTTTTTGTGAAATGTGAGCCAAAATCATCACAATTAAAAGAACCAAAGACTTAAACTACTTTAGTCTGTGTGCACTGAATTTATTTAATACACGAGTTTCACAATTTGAGTTGAATTACTGAAATAAATGAAATGAACTTTTCCACGACATTCTAATTTATTGAGATGCACCTGTACATCTCGGTGGCCAGAGGGTAAATTTTCCTCTATATTCCACTGGAAAAACTCTCCCAAAACCCAGTATTTCACATGTGTTGCAGCATGAGTATCAGTTATAATAATAATTTATGCATTTAGCAGACGCTTTTATCCAAAGCGACTTACAGTGCACTCAGGCTATACATTTTTTACCAGTATGCGTGTTCCCTGGGAATAGAACCCACAACCTTTTGCGCTGCTAACGCAATGCTCTAACACTGAGCCACAGGAACACCTTACACTTACAGTTATGGTGTAGTGCAGGGGTGGCGAACGTCGGTCCTGGAGAGCCGCAGCCCTGCAGTTTTGAGCTCCAACCCTAATTAAAACTCACCTGCCTGTAGCTTT